AATATATTATTTCGTGTCTCCTTATATTAATATAAAATTGTGACCGGGAAAAAAAGTCCTTTTAGATAAATATATAAATTATAAAAAAAAAACCATAAATAAGTTTTTAAAGATGGAGAACACTTTAAATGAAAATAAACATCATGATGATACTTGTACTGACAAAAATGATGATGATGAATATTCATATATTAGAAATCAAAAATTTGGGGAATGTCCAACCTGCAATAGATACAATACCAATTGGGCATGGTGTCAATCATGTGATCTGGAGCCATTAACTGAAGGATGGACTAGTGGCAATGAAACATTAGATGAGTTGATTAAAAGCACACAACTTAAAAGAACTATGTATGATAATAGTAATTATCTTCAATGGATTTCTTATTATGATTTAACAAATATTGAAAAGATAGGTGAAGGTGGTTTTGCAACTATATACAAAGCTATTTGGTTAAATGGTGATAAATATGTATACTATGGAAAAAAAATTGTTTGGGATAGGTATGTGGTATTAAAAAAAATACATGATTCACAGAATATTCCTGACAAATTTCTTAATGAGGTAAATTAATATTAGTTTCAGATTTTTTTTTTTTAAGTATTATTGATTATTATTATTGTTGTAATTAAATATTTAGTTGTTATTTTAGTTCAAAAATTATGTGAGGCTTCAAAATAAAGCAAAAATAATTAAAGTTTATGGACTAACACAAGATCCAATCACAGAAGAATATGTATTTGTAATGGATTATAAAGATCGTGGAAGTCTTCAAAATTATTTAACTAAAAATTTTAAAACTTTAAAATGGATTAGTAAAATTTATAATCTTGTTGGTGTTATTGAAGGTTTAAAAGATATTCATAAAGAAGGAATTATTCATTGTGATCTTCATAGCGGTAATGTTCTTATGTCTTATCCTACTGCATGTATTATAGATTTAGGATTATCATGTTCAGCTAGTCAAACATCTGCATCAAACAAAAATGATATATTTGGAGTACTACCATATGTTGCACCAGAAATTTTTAGGGGGGAACCATATACAAAAGCATCAGATATATATAGTTTTGGAGTTTTGATGTCTGTAATATCAACTAGTCAACAACCTTTTAATAATTTGGCACATGATGTAGATCTTGCAATGAAAATATGTGAAGGTGTAAGACCAGGATTTTCAAACAACACACCGAAATTCTATATTGAACTAGCATTCAAATGTATGGATGCTAATCCAGATAAGCATCCAACTGCTAAAGAAATTCATGAGATTATTAAAATTTGGTATTCTGGTCAAAGTGAATCAATTAGAAAAGAGTTTAAGAAAATGGATGAAATAAAATTCAATCCTTCAACAATTACTGCAACAATTCATCCAAATGCAGTTTATAATAGCAGATTATTAAATCTTACAAACCTTCCCCAGCCTGTGAATTCCAATAAAGTAACAATTATTGGTAATAATAATGGTAATTATCAACATTCAATCATTGATTATTTTCATTTTTATTAAAATTAATAATATTTATTAATATCCACACTTGTGATAAATATTTTGTAAATTCTAAACAAATTGATTTAGCTATACCAGATGGCTTACCTGAATAAGTTAAATCCTGTCACTTGTTATGTATTAAATTATTTATTTATCTGGCTACTATAGTTTAAATGTCAAGTAATGACCAGACACTGACCATTTAAGTAGAAACCCTGTCTACTTCTTTAAAACAAAGTCACCTCATTGTCATAATACATAAAAACTGTTTTTGTTATTATTTCAATGGCACATAATATTTAATTGAAAATAAATGAATAAATAATATTAAAATGTGTTGGCATAAAAACTAAACATGTTTTAATCATCATCTTTTGTTATCATTGGCATACTGAAGTTTTGAGTAATTTCAGTTGATGAAATATTTGATGATGCAGCTTGTTGAATTGATTCATTTAGTAGCCAACTTGTATAGAGTGATCATGGATGCTGCTTATGATATGTCAGGAATTTGACTGATTTAACAATTCTTGACATTTAGCTTCTGCTAATTTGATAACTTCCTCAAAACAATATCCAATTAAACAATTCATAATTACTTCTATTTTCAGAATTACGATCCCAATACCTTTCCATCAATTCAACATAGAATACTGGGTATCATCAGTGAATTAATTCATTATTTATTATTTGTTATTTATTGTTAGAAGGAAGAAAAAATTTTTTCAAGACATGAATCTATCTATTGTAGTTTGTTTCATTGTATTTATTTTTTTTAAATTAATAAATTTTTCAAGAGAATTAACTAATTTTACTTGTTCATTAGCATTTTCTTGTAATAAAAATGCATGGACAATTTCCAAACTTTTTGAAGCTTCACTAGTACTTATTAATACTTGTTCAACACCATCATCTTCTTCATCTCCTTCATCATTATTGCTTCCTACTTCTGTCTGCTGCTTATACATTTCCACAATTATTTCAACAATTTTATCATCCTCAGGAATTTCATATACAATTTCTTCTTCTGGATTATTCAAGAATTCCTCAACAGACATTGGATCATTTGGGTTAAGAGTAGCAACAGCCTGATCTATTGTTGAATTGTTGGTGTTATCAGAGAGGTTAGTTAAATTAATATTGGTTCTGTCAAGAAGAATTTTGGTGTGATTCCAGCAGTTATGGATGGTTTCAGGTGTGACTCACTCCACCCTTTAATAATATAATGTATTGCCTGCAATACATCCATTTTTAAGTCTTTTAGATTTTTTCCTTCTTCAACTTGACTTAGGATCCAGTTGATATGTAAATGGTGATAATGTCTTTTGAAAGACAATAATTCCAGCATCCATTGGCTGATTTTTGATGTGGTATTTGGAATCTCAACATTTGAAAGAACTAAACCATCAATCTTATGACTTGGACAATTATCAAGAAGTAGCAAGGCATGTAGATTTCTATGTTTCTTAGCAATCTCTTGGTCAAATTCCTGAAGCCAGTCTTGGAAAATGGTTGTTAACATCCAAGCCTTAGAATTACTATGATATGTCATTTGTAAGTTATTTATGTTAACATTATTAAACCATCATGGTTTTTTATACTTTCCAATTATTAATGGATTTAATTTGTGTGATCCATCAGAGTTAGCATACAAAGCAATTGAAAGCCTTTCTTTATTTTTTTTTATGTACAGAAAGTCTTTGTGTAGCTAATGTTCAATCTGGTTCTAATTTATAAAAAAGCGTCTCATCCATGTTGTATATTCTTTCAGGTGGATAGCTTGCACATTTATCTTTTAACAATGGTAAGGCTTCAGTTATTGCATTTAGATCAGCTGAATATTCCTCTCCATGAAGCTTTCTTTAACTCCATTATGTCTTTTGAATTTATAGAGCCATCCAGGAGAAAATGTCAATGTTCTTTCTGGAACTCCCAATCCATTTGCTATTTGCTTGGCTTTTTCAATTAAAATGGCTTCACTTAAGATGTATCTGTTTTGGTAGATTAAAATAAATTCTTTGAGGGCTAGTTCAAGTTCAGGGACTGTTACATTTTTATGTCTTTTGGCATCTGGATTAGTAACTTCAGTATTAAGTATTTCTTCTTTTTTTCAGAATTCTTGTTATGGTTGTTTCATCTACTCTAACTCCCTATTTTTGTTCAATCCAATTAGCATATTTCCTTCTAGTTAATTTGCTATTGTTAGCAAATAAACAAAATTCATGCTTTTTGAGAATCAGATAAAGTTACTCTACTTTTTGGAGGCATTTTATATAAAAGCAATAAAAGAACAAATATTTTAATGAGAGAAGTGTGAATGCAAAAATTAAATGGTTAGATACGGTAGGTATTATTATTAGAAAAAGAATCTGCTTTAATTTCATGTATAATTTTTTAAAAAATTTAATTTTGCATATGAATTTTTTTTAATTTTGTATATGAATTTTTAAGCTTTATTTATATTCTGAAAAACAATCTGATGTTTTTAAAATAAACTAACCATTCACTTCAAAGAAAGTAATAACTGTTAGTTAATAATAGTCAATTATTTTATTTAATTAATTATCATTACCATTTGAAACCTTTAAAGAGTATTATAAAGAAACAATTTAATATTTGTTGGATAGAAGATATAAAATAAAATATGGCGAATGAGCAGTTTCAGACATCTTATAAAGGAAAACAAAAAAGATCAAATAAGAATACAACAAATGTATTCTTGTAAAAAAGATCAAATAAATTTCAGAATCGGTTGTTGAATATCCTTAATATTCTTCATAAACTTGAGTTGGCTCATCTTCTAATGTTAAATCAATT